CGCTGCTCTCTCACCTTCACGTCGTCGGCCACTCAACCTCTCCTTGATAGTAGGTTCTCAATCGCACGCATCTACTTGACTTTTCATCATCTCTCTCGATAGATCAGTGCCTTGGGTAATTCCTCTTCCTTCCTCAAATTTTTATTGATTTGCATATGACTACCTCCTAGATCAGCTCTATTTAATTTTGTATTTGGGTCAGAATCCCTTGATTTCGTTTCTTACCAAAGAATCTCGTCCGCCTTGACTACTTCCTATCGTGATTGGTTTTGTTTTTTTGTTTCAATTTTAAGGTTTGCTAGTTTGTTTGAGCTGATTCTGAAGCTTAATTTTGCTGCTTTGGTTTTCTAGGGTTTGGTTGAGCTTTAATTTGAATTGGGTTTGTGTGAAATGTTGGTTGTAAGTATGAGTTCTTGGTTTGTGAAGTTAGTACCATTACTGGGTTTCCTAAGAAAAATGACATCTGATTTCTTGGTTTGTGAAATATGGCATAGTTAACAACATGAAGAAAAAAAAAAGGCCTAAGCATATTTCAGGGTTTTTTGTGGTGGTTGTCGGTGAAATATGTATGTTGTCTTTTTTGGAGAGCCAGAGATATATTACCATCCTTTTTTATTATTATTATTGATTTTTGTCTTTCATGTCTCTTTTTCACCATTCCATTGTTTTCTCAGAATGCATATGATACTGATTCATTTGTTTACGATGCCCTTTTGGATTAACACTGAGGTTGACTAGAGCTTTAGTTGCTTGCTTTTGATTTCATTTTGAAATATTTTTGTAACCTTAGTTGCCTATCAAATTGCTTTTGATGCCTTTTCTTTCTCTTTGTTTTGTTGTGTTCTATTATTGTAACCTTAGTTGCCTATCAAATTGCTTGGAGTTGATTTTGTTGGGGTTCTTTTAATTACCTAAATTGGTTTCTTTTGTTTTATGAATTAAATTTTACGTTGACATTCTATGTGAAGAAACTGATTTTCACTCCCTTCTTTCCTTTGGTTGTATAAATTGCATAACTGCATGCGTGTTATGAGATGGGAATTGATTGGAGTTTTCCATCATTCTCTAGGTTGTAGGAATGCCAATGGATTTGGGTCTGATTAATTACTAAAAGGATCTTAAATTTTAGTTGAAACATGATAAATATCTTGCTAATGGAGTATATGCGTATAATCACAGATACTTTTTTTACTGAACTAGGGTAATTAGGGAATGTTGGAAAGGAGAAAGGGGACCAAGGGCATTGAGCCCTGGTCTGGTGGATGGAGGGTGGATGTGGAAACCTCAAAAATTACCCTTGGACTTGGGTTCAGAGATACTAAGTCTGCCTTGGGATCGCTTCAAGTTGTAGATTTTTCTGGTTCATATTACCTGTTTACTAGATGGGTGTGTGTAATTGTATATCTGAAGTTATTAGAATAAAAATAGTAGCTTATTACACATTGGGAATTTTATGTCTGAATCTGAAAGTTACTGGAACACAAGTGAACTTGATAAATATATTAGACTACTAAAGATATTGTGTATTGCTCTGCCTCACTGCCATCACAGATGCTGAATCTGTCGTAGGAAAGTTTGAAATTTTCTTCTTTTCATGGTGCAGACAACAGTGAAAGTAGCTTGCAAGAGCATTTCAGAAATTCAAGTAGTGGATTGTGAAGCAGTGGCTAATTGAGAAGGGCATGTTTATAGCAGTGGCTAATTGAGAAGGATATGTTTATTTCTGAGTTTGCATACTAGACAGATATAGATGGGGGGAAGTAATGAAATAGTCCGTTCATACTTCGTTAGTCTTTCTTTCTCAAAATTTTGTGCTTTCTATTAATATGAGGAATGAAGTTATAGGTTTTGAAATATGTTACAATGTGGACATTGTATCTTAGAAATTTTGGATAACGCATGTGTGAGCTACTTGTATCTTAAAAGTTTTAGAAATTTTCTGCTTTTCTTTTGTTTCTAGAGAAGCTCAACTTTCCTCTTTGAATGTTTGATGTTGTTCACGGGGCTCAAGGTTTTGTTGCTTTTCCCCTTTCTCAGCCTAAAATTGTATTGTAAGCATGATTGCTGGTATTTAAGGGCTTAATTCTTTAAATATGGAGTATTTTAAAATTATTGTATAGGTGCATAACTGGCGCTGCTTTTGAGCTATCTTCTTGATGGTGTCTTACTGAAGTATTTCCTGTAAAAGGTTCTGAAAAAGCTTCGTATTAAGTGTAGGAATAAATAAATGATTTGTTTAAGCAAAAAAGGTGTGTTTGGTATTTGCTTGTGCGTGTCAGCTTTCTAGTTGAGAACATGTGGAGTGGGTTGTACATGTTTTTCTTCAGGAATGCATGATAAGTTATCTTTTTTATTAACTGTTGTAAATCACCGAAGAAGGAAGGAGGATTGGGTTTACAAGTTACTTACCTCTTCAATTTGAATATCTTTACCTCTTCAATTTGAATATCTTTACCTCTTCAGTTTGAATATCTTTTGCTATGGTTTTAAATGTTGCATTGTTCTCCTCAGCACCTAGAAATCCATTATTTAGTTGATCTTCTCAGTTGCTAGCTTTCATTGTTTTAAATACATGAATGGCATGTTAGTGGAGGTCATTGTTTCTTTTTCTTTTTTTTTTTTATCTAATTGTTTATCTTGAGATAATTTAAATAATATTTTGAAATATTAAAATTGTTAATTTTGATTTTATTAAATTTAAATAATAATTA